TGTGCGAGGTGGTCTGCAGATGCCCGAAGTCGAAGTGGGCTGAAAGGAGATAGAGCACCCATAGCCAGTAGTGGTTGAGCGGCCATAGCCGCTATAGCTTAGAGATAGGTTTCAGTGTGTGTGTACGATACAGAGTTTGTGTGCGTGGGATATCCAGGGAGATCCAGGGTTAAGTGCGTGTGAACAGTCCCCATGAGTACAGTGTTGGACAGTTGATGTGTGGGCGCTCAGGCGCCATAGCCAATCTGAAGCGAGTTTGTATATGAGTTGTGTGGGCGCCCAGCGCCAGTGTGAATTGCCATCTGTTTGCATGTATGCGAAGTGGAGAAAAGCGAGTCTGATTTCAGTCCACAGAAAAAAAATAAAATATTATGAGGCCACTTCGTACTACTCATTGGATCTATTTTCTTTTCCAGAAGTTCCCCTGCAAGGTCATCAGGGTTTCCATACTTTCGGAGAGATGTTCATTGAAAGGCTGGCAGACCACGAGCAGGCCAGCAATATATCCTGGATTCGGATTCAGGTCCGTGTTCCAAGAGTCATGGGTTAAGAAAGTACTACAAACACTACAGTAGCTGTCTCGGTTTTTTGTTTTTCCTTTTCCTATGTGCAGTGGCCCTAAGGGCCTCGCTCCAATCATCACAAAAGAAAAAGATCTGGTTTGTATGGTTCCAGTTTGTAGGAGAAGATTCATTCTAGTTTTGAACATTTGGTGAGTAGTGGAGTGGAGCCCTGAAAATCACATGCCGAGTTACTAAGTCAGTAACCCATAACTGCTAAAACACGGACCTGAGTTCGAAGCTACACCATATATAGCTGGCCTGGGCCCTCCTTACTACAAGTCCAGTGACTACCCTTCTTCTGCCGACGGGAGCCTTGCCAATTTTTGGCAGGGACCTTTTGAAGTACTGGCAGGGGTTGCCTGAATAATTTGAAAGGGCTCTTTGCTCTCTCTCTCTCTCTCTCTCTCTCTCTCTCCCCCTCCCCCCCCAGCGTGTATACACCTTACATGCGGCGCATCGCGATGCGCTGCACTGCGCACGTGCGCATCCCGCACGACGCGCGCGCACTGCATGCGGCGCACCTAAAAAAATGGGGGTCAAAAAAAAAAAAAAAAAAGTTGTGAGGGGCGGTAGTAGACCCGGCCCCCTGCTCGCGTAAAATATGAAACGGGCAGCCAAATTTTTTTTGGAGGCCGCGCATCGGCCTGAAAGTTTTTAGTAACCTGTAGTTCGGGTAACACTGTGTGTGTGTGGTAGGGTATTGCAGTCTGTATGGTAGAGTTCTTGCAGGCCAGATTCAGTCATGATGAGGGTCGCGATTTCTCAAAACGTTCTCTTCTTATTACTTCGGAAGTAGAAAACGACGGAACTGACAGCCGTTTTTCCTGGAATGTTTTTTTTTTTTTTTTTTTTGGTAGAGTTCTTGCAGGCCAGATTCAGTCATGATGAGGGTCGCGATTTCTCAAAACGTTCTCTTCTTATTACTTCGGAAGTAGAAAACGACGGAACTGACAGCCGTTTTTCCTGGAATGTTTTTTTTTTTTTTTTTTTAAAGGAAAAAAATCAGAATTTCTTTGCACGAGTGTCGCCCGGCATGTCCAACCTGTCAGAACCTCAACGGTAATTGCAGTCTGTATGGTAGGGTTCTTGCAGGCCAGATTCAGTC